CCGAGCTGCTCTGGTGTGGCGGCGCTTGGCTCGGCCGGGGGCCGCCCCGTAGGCCCGTGTGCGTTCGTCGGTGGGTTTTGTTTCACAAGAGCTCAGCTAAATGCTGAATAAATCCTGAAACCTGAAGAATGGGATCTTCCAGGCCTCCTTCTAACCCCATCGGCCCTTGGTTTTGCTGAGTGATTAATATCCTGGTGCTCACCCTTTGCTATTTCAGCAAGGGTCTTTTTATAGAAGGAAGCTTTAGAAAGGTGACCCACGGCAATAAACACCTCCCCTGCCTGTTTTTTAGGGGGGTGGCAGTGCACTTTGCGTCAGGGGATGCTCGTTAGTGGGTTCTCCAGGGCACGGAGGCAGATGAGGGACGTGGCAGTGCTGTCCTGTCTGCTGAGCTTCTCTTCCGATAGTGAAACCTTCCCCAGCTGCTCTTCTCTTGGTCCCCAGGCCTTTGGGGCCCCTCTCTGTCTCTCACCCCCCCAACGTTTGCAGCGCCTGAGCTGCAGCGTGGTTGTTTCCAGCTTCTGGTGTTCGCCCTGTGGTTAGCGAGCTCCCCGCGGGGCTGGGGACGGGAACCCACTTCCTGCCCCGCCACCTCTCACCGTGCTCTCGGGCAGGGCAGATTTGCAGATTTGCACTACCCCAAGTGTCAAGTGACATCAGTGGAGGGGGCAGGTGTCTTTCAGTGCCAGACAACCCCAGCAGGCAGCTCAGCACCTCCAAAAGTGGAGTCCTAAAGCTCTCCTGGGCAGGCATCTGGGGAAACAGGGACGCATCCATTCTCCTTGATCCCAAAGGGATTCAGCCCTGATGCATCCACTCCCCACACCGCTGTGTTGCTGCAGAGTATTTCTGCAGTGCCTCAGACAGCAAACACACAGCAGTGACAGCCTTCTGCAGTGCCCAAAGCCCTCGTCCCAAACAGCAAAGAGCACGCACACAGTTGCTCATGTGCTGTACTGTCCCTCTCCACCAGCAGTATCCCAAGGAGCCTGGAAAGCTTTGCAACTGGGGCTTCATTTATTTTGTCCACTGCTGAGGGGTGGCCATCTCGGAGGCAGAAGGCAGCAGAAGCTGATGAGCGCTTGATGACATTGCTCAACTGTCTGCGAGAGGAAACGAAGCCTCCTGCGTAGAATTGAAACCGGATGGATAATTCAGATATGAAGATTATTGACTGCTTTGTTCAGTCTTGTGCCTCTGAATTGTATTTTGGGCTGAGCTGGCTTGGGGTTTTGTTTTAGTCACTTTAAAATTTGGGGTGGTTCTTTGTCACTGTGCTAGGGTTAACCTGACTTCAGACGAGGCTGCAGTGGTGCTATGTAGGCTGGTAACGTGCCTGGGTAACACGAACACAACCTTCCTGCTTTTTAGCAGAATCACTCTATTTTAATTCGGTGATGAATGATAAGTGTCAGCAGGGCTGGAACAAGTGTTTTGCAATGTGTCTACCCAACACACGCAGTCACCGCACGCACGATAACCTTAGCAAACTGCTGCACTCTCTACGTGGAGGAACATCACGTTCTCTGGTTTCTCACGGCGCTCTTTGAGCTACCTGCCTCTGAGTGGATGGGAAATCAAATGCTATGCTTGAGCTGATTTTTTGAGAAGTCTGAAGGATTTTATTTTACTTTATTTTATTTATTTATTTTTCCTGTGAAAAGGCTGGGAAAGGTCTTTTTCTTGTAAACTGTTTCCTTTCAAAATTTTCCTTGCCCCCCTTCATTGGAACGTCCACATGGAGCCTCACCTGAAGGAAACCCTTTTTCTGGAGCAGAATGGGATGGCCACATGGAGAAGCAGGATCAGCTTTGACCCCAAGCTGGGCTTCTCTCACCTAACTTTATCCAGCTAACGCCAAGGTGTCTTACCTAGCCACGCCATTCAGCTTTTTGCTGAAGACCCTGTGGGATTCCCACACCTTCTTGGGGCCATTCCCTCTGTCTTCAGGAAAAACAATGGCTCTTGGGAAGTGGCCAGCTCTTTCCACCGGTCAGGGCAACCTGTGACATGAGCTCTGTGCAGACCACTGGCCTGGTGAGAGCTAATTACGTGAGATGAATCTCATGGTGAGGAAATGGAGGCAGCTAATGAGTTGCTGGGTATGTGTTTGCAGATAGCTGGCACGCACAGAGCGTGGCCAGGCTGGGAGTTCACTGTAAAAGATGAGAGCTGAAAAGCTGAGCATTGAGGAGGTCTTTATTATAATTATTACACACTTAGCAAGCAGCTTTTCTTGAGATTATCCATTGAATCAGGTTGTGGCATCCCATTTTATACCTAAACTGTCAGATCTTGGGGAAGTTTAAGGTATGTGAGAAACCAGCTAGTGCCCTAACCTGTGTTTTTAGACATAGCCATCATATAAATAAGCAAAAATATTTTTGTTTTTTTGTTAGTTTGTTTTATTATTCTTTTTTACTCTCAGCTCCTTCTGAGGACAGAAATTCAATATCTAATCTCATACAAAACCCTTAAGTTTTGCCAACTGCATCAGTAGGATAAAACTGCAGTGCAAGCCCAAAATGACTTGATCTGTTGTTTTTTTGTTCTTAAATTTACCCCTAAAATTGCATAATCCGGCTACTCCTTGTTAAAACAGGATTAAGCACTTTAGCAGAGATCTGTTTTGGGTTGTTTTTTCTTCCCTCCACAAGTGTGTGTTAATCTAACCTGATCAAGCCCCCAGGCCCCCACGGATGTGTCTGCTTTCACCACTTCGGGCGCTCTGTCTTTTGAGTCCGAGGGCACGCAGCCTTTAACAAGCAGCTTCTCGAGCATTTGTTAGTTCTTCTAAAAGGTGATTATTGCCAAACGCACAGTCGTGGTGGCTCATTAAAGGCTCTCACGTGACGGCTCCATGCTGCATTTTGTGTGTACGCACCCAAGGCTGTCACCATTTAGAATAAAATGCTAAATATTTACTAGCAAGGCAAGCCACGTGTATAAATATTTATACCAAGGTACAATAAAAAAGTACCATAAAACTGATATGTTATAAAGAATTTATGTGCTGAAACAGCTGAGAGCATTACAAAAGATGTGCCATTTCATGATTGTATTATGTGTAGAGATTGCAGTGTTTAGGAGTTTAGTTTATTACTATCTGACCTTCGCTGTTGGACTCATTAATCTGTCAGGTGAAGGACCCCTAATTATATTTCTTGTAACATGGCAAAGTACAGAGAAGCGTCATCATATGGGGAATAGATCTTGAAGATTTACTGTTCTGTTGCTCATGATCCCACAGGGCTAGGAAGTGGAAAAATTATACACAAAAGCAGCAAATGTTTAGAAGGGGAATCTGTCTTCCTAATTATTGCTCTGAAGGTGTTCAATTGGGCTGAGATAAAGGGAGCATAAGCAAGGGGTTAAGCTTCAGTTTCAAGGTGGTAATAGGTTTGGCTTTGTGCATGAAGCTGCAAGCAGCCAGGAGCCTCCCAAAATCAAGCATCCCATCATGGTGTCACTGAGACTTTCCCACCTGCTGCCAGATCCCAGTCTCCCATCATTTAGCAAGGTGAATCCAGGACTGTGTAGCAATGGTTGTTGATTTTTTTTCCTAACTTTGGCAACTATTTTGTATTATCACCATACCAAAGGTCGACTGGGAAGCCTGACTTGTATAGGGAGGCTCCCTATACAAGTGATTTAGTGGAGATAAGAAGCTCAGGGTTAAATAGTAACCTGGCACGGGATGGTGCAACCCAAAGTTTGCCGTTCCTCTTATGTGGACTCACTCAGCACACAGTTGTCCTTACGGTAAAGAGTCCCAAAGCCCCCAGCTGCAGCATACTGGGGAAATATCAGAGCCTGATGCCCTTTTCTTGCACTAGTCATGCTGGCCACTGTCAGAGGCAAGACAGTGGACTAGAAGGATCTTAGACCCGACCCATTTTGGGGTTACTTATATAAAGTCTATATAAATTATTTCGTCATGTGACGTTAATGGGCAGAGTCATGAGTGTGCTCCCAGTTCAGCAGCAAAGCAGGAGGCTTATAAAAGGAGTTAAAAAGAGGAAAAGGAAAGAAGTCAGAATCTGGCAGTCAGCTTTCCTGGCCAGGTGGAAATCTAGATTTCTGGCTTGTTACTTGTGATTTTGGACCATAATAGCATCCTTTCACTTGCTTTTTTAAAAACATATTGCTTGCTATAGCAGACACATGGGGTCAGCTATCTGTGGGCTTATGATTTTGTTGGTAAAAGGCACAGCACAGATGTAGACATCCTGTTGATAGGATGGCATGTCACATAATTGGAAAAAATTGTACCTATTTCGGGTACCTCGGACTCCTCATCCCTCTCATTCTCATCTTGTTGCTTTGTACTTGTGGTTTCTGTTCTATATTTTAGGCTTTGGGGAAATGCTCTGTGGCCTGTGACACCCAAAGGTGGCAGGAACAGCTGTTGAGTAAACACTGATGCTTGCGATCCGGGGAGGCTGGCAACATTTCAGGCAATCCTAGAAGTAAACTGTGCCACCTGCCATAGAAGAATTAAAAAAAAAAAAAAAAAGCTATCAAAAAAAGCCATTAAGACCTTTGGGAAATTCCTTCCTGGCCACAGCTCTGACGAGCAGTTTCACTCTGAGGAGCTCGGGGTCGTGTTTTTACGGTTAGCGATGAGCACGTCACGCTGACAGCGCAATGGAAAACAGGTGCAGGGACTCGTGCGTTCAGCTAGAGAGACCCTTCTGGGGGTGGGAAAACCTATTTCTCCTCCAGTCGCTTGAAGTTACATATTCACACAGTGCTTTTGTAGACAGCTGTGGAAATCCCTGCCTCAAAGAACTTGCTGTCTAAACCTTTTACTATAATGTGAATAGGAAAGTGAAAATATGTAGTGTCTAATACACAGATTTTTCAAAAGAGCTGTCAGCATAAAGTCTGTGGACTAGACATTCAGCCAATATAAACCGAGGTAGAGATACTGAATTATTCCATTTTACACCAGTGAAGGGTCTGACTCTATTATTTTCTATAAAGGGTTTGATCAATGTTTTCCTTTGGCTCAGCATTTGATTAATAAGATAGCCTAGCCCATAAAGCAGACTTTGGAACTGCACGATGTGATCCGTTTAATCAGTTTGTCATTTTTATTTTGGAGACTTACTGAAAAACAAAACCCTCTGCATAGCTATTGATTTAGTATGCTTTGCCTTGTATTCCCATGAAGGCAAGTGAATAAATATTTCTGATGCATAAAGTGCTGGAAGAGTGTTATCGCTGCGTTCAGGAACAATCTGTGTGGGAGGACTGTAATGTGCACCGTCAGTATATGGCATTCGAATGCTAGCAATGAAATAGATACTAAAATAACATTAATATGAAAACAAATGCAGAAACAGATGTTTACATTTACACAAACATACCTCTGGGAGCCTCTTGCATCATGCTCATTTTTGGAGCTATTTAGATAGCATTGTTCCTCCAAAACCAGTTCTTCTATCTCGGGCTGATATGAAGCTGGAAGAGTTAGGCTGGCACTTATCTAAAGAAGTGTCTATTTGGGCCCAGGTGCTGCCAGTGATTTTGGAGGAGCAGCAAGTGAACTCAGCAGAGAGCAGAGAAAAGCTCTGCTAACCCTGTTTGTGAGCAGACAGAGCATCGCCACGGGAATGGGAAGGTTTTAAACACTCTGCATTACAGAATAGCCATAGCTATTTATTTAAAGGCTGAGCCGGGCACAAGACTGGATGCCTCTCTGGGGGTAGGATGGAAAGCCCAGGAGGGTGCCTAGCTAAAGTCTGGCATTTCCACTTGACCAGAGAGCATTGCTCTTTCTACAAGGAGGGCTATGAAGAAACAGAGAAAATGAATGAAATCAGTTGGCAGGCTACAGCAGTACCAACACGAAAAACCATCTACATTTTAAATCATTTTGTTGTGGATGTTTCTTACACTTTATTCTCAGCTTAACCGAAACTGCTTAGGGATTAATTTTTACAGTTACATTACAAAAACTGATTCATAATTACTTTTGACGTAAGCTTATTAGCCTAGCTAAACATAAATAAGAGTTTCTGTTTAGATGTATACTGATTTAATGAAGTCATTAAAAGAATGCTACTCTGATGGAAATTCCTCACCCAAGACTATCACACAAAAGCAACTTCTGTTGATTACTGAAAGCGAGTAAAAGTTCTGCTTTAACATCAGATCCCTTTTGTCCTGTAGCTGAATTTATTGTCAAAAATATCAAATGTTTGTAGATCATGAGGCAGGAATAAGTATCAGTAACCCTCTCTGTAACATCTTGCTATTTTTGTTTCTTGGTGCCAGTGGGCAGTAATCACAGAACCAAGCCAGGAGATATCTCCAAGTGGGTAGCACCAGCAGTAGTGGTGTCCATAATAATCCTTCTTGAAAGCCTTGGCTGAACACAGGTTAAGCTGTTAAGTAATGCTAACGTCTTTGGAAGGATTCATTTCTGGGCAGCATTGAAACCTGTACTACATGAGTCAACAGGTCTTTTTGCCATTTGCTCAAGACAATTGAACCAAGGGAGGTTGCCTTTGAGAAAAGTGGCAACAGAAACTTGATAGCACTGCTTGAGCTGTTTCTGTAGCCCTCCCTCCTCCCCCCCCCATCCAAGACTTAGTCCTAATTTATGGGTGTCTATCAAAGGCCAGGGCACTTCTGAGAGTGGAGACAGAAGGATGGAGCAGTCTGTGAGGAAATAGCCCTACTGATTTGGGCTGTCTTACTCACCATAGAAAAAAGCAATCACTTCTGGAAGGAGTTTTCTACCTAATTTGGATATCGGCTTTGTAGAGAAATGGGGCATTGCCAGCTCCTCTCCTGTGACTGAATAAGTGGTCTAGGATGACCAGGGGTGAAGATTGCACTGCAGTTAGATAACATTAATACTACTAGTTGTTATTATGCAATTAATAATACTGTAGTTTAGACTCATACCTGAATAGCATCCAGGCATTTAACTCCAGGGATATCAGTTGGGATGAAGACAGGAATTAGAAGCCAACTTATTTCTGGATTGGGTCTTACATAGTTTCTTAAAGTTCAAAGATGGTATACCTTGAGATTAGAAATTATAGTACATTCTCAGAAATAAACTGGTGTAATTATTTCTCAATCTCTCTGGAGCAAACATATATATTGGTAACCAGATCTTGCATCTAATACCCAGTTAATTTATATTCCCGAGTAGCCACAATGAATTCAGTGCAATTTGTGCAAATGAGGATTTGCATCCACATCAGTGCAAGTTAGCTGCAGCTAAACTCTTGCTAAAAACAACAAAAGGTTTTGTTGTGTTTCAGTTTACAATCTTAACCCTGCCTTTTGCCAAAAGGTGTGGGGAATCAAGAAGAGAACAGGAAATTCTCTACTCGACTGCAAGTTCACACCCTTCCTTACGTTTCCTAACAGCAAGGAGAGGTCCAGACTGCTCTCTGCATTAAAATATCTGATTTCCTTTTGTCGCTCTGCTGATAGTCTTGGTGGCTGCACAAACTTTTCTTTTTGGTTGGGTAGGATGTGCCTGGCTTCTCAGCTGTTGATAAGGACACACCTGTTGGAGGAGAGCAGTATATAAAAATAGTTTTAAGAAATGATGTTTTACCTCTTCTTGCAACTGCACAGGCCCCTTCATTAAATCTGCCAGCTGCATACCACCTTGCAAGATCTGAATTAAGAAGCAGATTCACCCCACAATGTGTGGGACTCATCCTGCACGAAGAGATCACATTCTGCCAGTACTTTTAAATGGAAGAAAACCACTTTCCTGGTAGATGGGCAGCAGGAAACACTTTCTCATTTTGTCCCATGTGCCCATTTATGGTCCCTGTCCTTCTAATGGGATTGAATAGGCTTACATCTAAATTCCACAGCAGTTTTGCTCCTGAAGGGCTGCTGTTGGATCAGGCTGCCCCGAGAGGTTCCAAGCGCTGCTCCTTGGAGAGCTCCCCAAGCCCAGGGATGTGGGCCTGGGCACATTGCTGGGGCAGGGAGGACAGGGGCACCCAGGGGTGTCCCCAGCCTCACCCATGCTGTGATGTTGTGATTCTGTGGTTCCCATCACTGACAGCCTAAGACACAACCTCAGATTATCCAAAAATGAGGCAAAGGGTTTCTCTTGGCACTCACAATTTTGGCGTAAGGCAAGCCTGGACAGCTGGGCAGGGGCAGAGGAGGAGGAGGAGGAGGAGAAACCCTGTCTTGATTCATGTGCCCTGGTGTTGCTCAGGGAGAAACCCACTATCGGCGTGTTTAATCATCAGCTAATTATAAACAGTTGTGGAACAGATGGAGGAGCCAATGTCAGCAGCCAGATGGGAGCAGGAGGTGGCTGTGTGGTGTTGCAGGGGCAACTTCTTCTACTGTAATGGCTTTACCCCCTTGGCTTGCTTAATTGAGAAATAAAATGACAAAATATACTGCACCTAGTTCCAAGTAGGAAAAGGTAGTGTCATTGTCAGGTTTGGTTTAAAAGGGTAGATGTGTTTAAAACTTCTATGACTGTGCTGTCTTCGCTGCTGACACCAGGTACCCTCTGAAATACTTGCTCATATTGGCACCTCTCAAAAGATCAGGTTATCTTTATTGCTGTAATGCCATATTGCTAGGAAATTCAAGCAGAAAATATTTTCCTAGCACAACTTCATCGTGGGCATCGTGGGCTGTCATTCCCATCCACGTATTACAGGATTGCAGCAGGAGGAGGAGATGGTGCACAACGCAATGGAAGCGCATGTGGTCTGTGCTATGGGCATGGTGAAGCATGTCTTTAATAGCAAGGATCAATTCCACAAGTCCTGGGCACTTAGCAGCTATTTAATACTTGAAAACAATTCTGCAATAGCTTAGGACAGAAAGTGAAATTTATTACCCTATTAGATTAAATGGCATGGGGATATAAAGTACTTAAAGTAATATAAATAAATGTAAGCACACAACTGGAAGTGCATCAGACTTAACGCCTTTTTTTTTTTTTTTTTTTTTTTTATGCAAGCAGTTTCAGTATTTAAAATTATTATACAAAAACAACTCATTTTTTTTTAAATTATTATTATTGCTCAGCACTGTGAACAAAGGAAATATTTAAAGATAAAAATTATTCTTTGATTATTAATCAATCGTACCCAGTCCAGCAGTGCTGAGCTACCAGCTGCATCATGCTGGGGCACACAAGAGCTCAGCTCAGGCCCAGGAGAACGAATACGACCTCCTACCTGCGTGGGATAAAAATTTCCAATGAGATGTAAGTAGCTTGGCACACCCAAGAGCAGCCGGTTTATGGGATCTGATACGATCACAGCACACGATCTGCAAAGGGGCAGATCCTCTGACAAGGAGCGCCTGAGCACTGTGGCAGAAGCAATGGTTGGTTGGAGGAGTGCGTGCGGGATGCAGGAATCTGATCTGCTGCAGGGGACCTTTGTGATAAGTTATCTGTTTATTTTGCAAATACTGCGCTAAAATTCATTATGTTCCCTCTAGTCTATGCAGCTCTGTGCGCAGCAGTTCTCAGGTTTTAGTTAAGAAATTCTCTGCTTTTATTTGACTGAAGTCATATTCTCTATAGCTCATATTTTTATTACCCCCTTTTCAGCCTTATGCTCTGCTGTCTTGCTCTTTTGCTTTCTGTTCAGACTTGTTTATTATAGACATAATTATAATATCTGAACAATGAAATGTAAGTTGACTGGATTGCTCAAACTGCTATTTTTAATTAAAAAAAAAAAAAAACAAAAAAAAAAACACCAAAGATTTCAATATGTTTTCCCCTCTATTTCCTCCTTATATCCTTTATCTTCCATTTACCATAGCTGTTCAAAACTGAACTCCCAGTGCTTTGGTAACCTCATTAACCAATTCCTTTAAAATTTATCAGTGTATTCAACTTAAGGCTAAAAATGTGTGTACAGTCAATAAATACTTTTATATTCTTTTAAAAGGCTTTTTTATTTATTTATTTATTTATTTTTCTGCCAGCTGCCCTGATAAACTCTAGCTCTGTAATTCTAATTCTACCTAATTCCAAGTTTCTTTATTTCATTTGCATTGTTAAAGGGTTTCTGGAGTACAAATGGGATTTGGGGTACTGAATTTGCTACAGGAGCAAGTTTGGATATTCAGAGCAAAGCAACTGCTTGCTGTCATTTTCTTTTTCTACTGTGTTTAAAGAAATGGGATTTTGTGGACATATTTCTTAGTTAACTAGGATTACACTCAAGAAACACAAAAGTTTCTTCTCCTAATAGAAGCATCTCTGCAGGAGCCCAGATTATTGACTAACTAGTCAGGCCAGAGCAGCCATCCTATTTCACATGTGTTGCCTCTGGATGTGATTTTCTCATTGGCTTAATCACTGTTGTTCCCACTGAATTCGGACTTCTGGGAGCTCATTATTCTACAGATGAGTCTGAGACACTTCCACTGTGAGCCAGGGAATCCACAGTTCTCACAACTCTACCGAACAGTCTGAAAAGCTATTATGGGCTATGCTTTGGGGATTAAAACAGATTTACATTATTGAAGGTTTGGTAGTAACTCCTAAAACCAGGGCAGAGGAAGCACACCGAGATTATTCCAGCTTTTCTTGCTGAGGGACAGCTCCACCTCTCCCAACAGTGTGTTGGGAGATGCTTACCACCACCTGAGACAGGACCTCAAGCTTGTTGGACTTCAGGTCTTCAATTCAGTGTGGCAATGCTTACATTCCCAACATCAAGCTCTACGTGCCACAAGTCCATACAAATATGTGGGGAGTATGTTGTTTTCCTAAAGAGGAATCCTGGTTGAAAAGTACCTCTCCTTCCTTTCTGCCAGCCTCCTTCTCAGCAGAGAAGCTCAGAAATGGTAGAAGTCCCCAGGTAATTGCCTGCTGCAGCCTGGGATTTTTTGATTTTCAGCTTCACCAACATCCCTCATTGCAGTGAGCAGAGTGACAGCACTCCTTTGAACTTCTTTGATTTTAGTTAATGTCTGAAAATGTGATCTTTTCTTACCAGAAATAATGATGTGGGAACAGACGGTATCTCTCTTCAGCTGGTGACTTCTATCCCTGTTGTGTATTGGCAACTGTTGGAATAATTTATGGTTCCTTCCTCAAGTATGTGGTCCCTAGTTCCAGACCAGAGTACAAACTCTGCTACAGGACACAGTAGGATGCAGAGAAGGATTGCGTTTCTCTCTACCAGTCCATTTGGCTTCATCGGTAAGGAGTAGGTTTGAGTGATATCATCATCCAGCCCTTGTCCCACCTTTTCCTGCCACTGCCACTTGACATTTCTTCCTTTCTGTCTTTACCCAGAGTTAGCAGTGTAATTCAAACAGAACAGCTTTAGTTTGCAAAATCTGTTTGCCAGTGATAAATGGTGCACATGATGGATGGCTGTGGTCTTGAAGATGATGGAGGGTGAACAGCAGGGTGCTGCATGGATTTGTGCTAGCAGCAACATTATTTAATACTTTTATTAATGGTCTGGAAGGAGGTGTAACCGAGTACATTAACTAGGTCTGCACACGACACTGTGCTGGAAAGAACTGTAAACCAAGTGAAGACAGAGAAATAACACTAATGGAACCAGAGGTTAGAAATATGAGCAGGAAACAGAATGAGATTCTGTCTGGAAAAAGGCAAACTAATAAATCTGGGAATAATAATCCAAAACACAGATATTTAATAGGAGAGTGAGAGATCTGAAAAAACAGTAATGTTCTAAAAGAGCTAGTAATGATGGTTATGGGTGACTAGGAAATGGTTGTACAATGGGAAATGATGGAAAAAGGCAATTTTGGTTTGTAGAGTAAGATTCAAACCTGGCACAATGGCTTGTCCCTCCTTGTGGGTATGAATTATACAATACTTTGAGCCCTTACCTCCAAGCTCTATCTGTGGGTAGAAACCCACAAGTAGAAAAATGTCCACTCTTCATAGAAACACAGGTCTGCAGGGCATCTACTGGTCCATTGAGTCCTTCTCTGCTCAGCCCCACACACCCCTGTGAGGAGGGTGAAACAGAGGCTGGCTTCCCTGATGGCAGTTTTGAGGATTGGTGCTTTTAAAATCAAGAGCAGAAAGATGTTAAGGAGGAGAAGTTAATTCCAATAAAAAGGTATGAATAGATAAGGAGATGAAGGATGGAGCTTTTACACAGAATGATACAGACAAGAATGAATGTTTGATAGGACCATTACCTCTCACTCAATGCAGGCAGTCTGTAGGTGCAATTTTCTGACCCTTGTAATATTTGCATGAGTTAATTCCATGGCATAATTTGAAATCAACATGACATGTGGAAATGGATATTTGCCAAAGGAGGATTTAGCAACCCTGTAGGAATCCGCAGGTGTGAGCTGTTGGACCCATGGGGAAGGGATGTTGCAGAAAGCCCTCACTGAGATTGTGAGAGCCATGTGAGAAGCAGGGTCACTGCCTGCTGTGCTTGGTAAAAGCTCCATGCTGGGCAGTCAGTGCTCTGGCAATGGGAATGAAGTTATTTAAAGTGGTAACTTGTTCTTGGTATCAATTATAAGGTGGATAAGATTGAGTGCAATATGTCTGCTCAGCGTTGTTGCAATTTTTTTTTTAATTGTTTGTTTTACATGCTGATTATTAAGCAAAATGTAAGAATAAGAGGGAGGTTACATTTCACTTTCAACAGCAGTAACATACCCTTATGAATCTCCTCGCCATCCTGAGAATTAAAAAAAAAAAAAAAGAGGAAAATATCAGAAGACAAGTCTATGCTGACCCAAAGGAGAGAAACGGAAGGGTCACACTGCAACATTTCCCAAAATACATTGATATGTCTTCACCAACTCAGACTAAATGTCCTTTACATGCTGTGAGGTGCTAGTCATCTTGTAAAGCAGCAGAAGCCCCACTGCAGGCTGGAGAATTGCTCCCACATTATATGAGTAAAATAAGTCTGTCTAACCCCATGTATGTATCATCTGCTTAGTCATGGAGTGGAAATGCAGCTACCTCTGGGGTGGAATAGAGAAACCACCCTCTGTGAGCTTCCCTGCAATGTTAGGTCTCCAGGCTGGAGCTTTTCATTGCCCTGCTCACAAACCCATTATTAAAAATATTAAGTTATAAGGAGCTGTGTTTGTGTCAAAGGGCAACTGCTTGTACAGGAAAACCTTTGTTAGAATATTTTCCTTCAGTCAAATCTCTTTATTCCTAGAAGTTCTCTGATACAGATATTAAACAATGCTGTTTGTAGTA